TCTCTTCCTGAAAGCGGACACGTGCGACAGCACTGTATACCTTCCTGATACCTACATGCGCTTGCTTGGCCTCTGCTGTCGCGGGCGCAAGCCACATGGACCCGCGTTGCAAAGCCGCCCGGACATGACGAGGCGACCCGCAAGCACAGGTCGATGAAGCAGGGGAAAGATGGTCGATCGCAAAGACGCGCCTACGTAGCACTTGGGGGGGGGGGCGGTGGAGGCAGCACGGTGGCGTATCTCTGGCGTCATTGCTGCACCTGCGTCGAACACTGAACCCACATGTATGTAGTTGTGCGCGACGGGTGCGCTCGCTGTCCCAAGCATGTCCGATATTCCCAAGATGTGCCCGCCATGTTCGCGCTGCGCTGCGAGTCGTGCTTGCTTGATGCCTCGTCCGCGCCACATCATGAGGGCTGCCGTCTTGGACAGCCCGACGTTCAACGTATGCCCCCGTCGTGCGAAGGCCTCCAGGGCAGCTGCCAAAGACCTACTCAACGCGTCGTACAGCTGTAAGCCGGCATCATGAAGATGACTGCTCCGTCGTCTGCGTATGATATGTCGATCAGTGGGGCCTCTGCTTGGGGTTCTCCAGTGTCGCCTTGTATGAGTCCACCAATGGTCCTAAGCCTGTCTGTCTGCGGTAGAGAGTGCGGATATCCTTCTTCAAGCATCTGTTCAGGCGCGCCCCGCATGCAGGGTCAGGACGGAAGGGGGGGGGAGGAGAGGGAGGGGAGGGAGGGGAGGGAACGAAGGGCGGGGAGGGGGGAGGGGGGAGGGAGGGGGGAGGGGGGGGGGGATCGCAATGGAATGGATTGCATTGTTATCGATTGGATTGCGATCGATTGGATTGGAGCACGATCTCTCGATCGTCGATCCTTGATCGTCGATCGTCCATCCTCGATCGTCGATTGCTGATTTTTGATCGCCGGCGAAAGGGAGGGCGGGGGCTCCGGGGGCTGGGTGGGGAAAAGGGGGAAGGGGGGGGGCCCCAAGCCTCCACCCCCTTTGGGGATGGGGGTGAGAGGGGGGGTAGCTTCCAGCAGCGCTGGTCCAAAGGGGGGGGTAGCTACCCCCCCCCCCCTTCCTCGGAAAGGACGGGCGGGGGGGGGGGTTGCTTCCGGGGGCTTTCAAGCCCCCCCCCTCCCCCATTTTGGAACAAAAAGGGGGGAGGGGGGGCGTAGCTCCCAGCAGGGGCTTTGGAAAGGGGAGGAGTGGGGTGGATGGGGGCGACGCTCGTCCTAGACCATCTTGAAAGGTGTGGAAATCGCTTTCGGGCTCTTCAAGGACGGCTTCTGGGGCTCTCCAAGAAGGCATGGAAATGGGCTTCGGGCTATCCAAGGACGGTCTCTGGGGCGAATCCAAACCGCGCCACGTGGGCTCGGGGTTCAGGATTGGGCTTCGGTCTTTGCGTCCTAGCTGACAGACGTAATCGCCGTCGCAATTCCCGTCGTCGGACCACACTCTTGCGCTCCGAGTGCGTCACGCCCGCGTCGCGGAAATAGCCCCGCGCACCACGACCCCTGCAGTGGCTTCGCGGTGATGCGAGGAAGAGGTGGGATTGGCCGCCCTGGCATGCAGGCGCGCGGTCACCGATCGAACGCGATGTCGATCAGGGGAAAAAGAAAAACGGGGGGGATAATAACCGCAGCGCGGCGTGCTTGAGTGGCCCATCCGCCTTCGCGGCAGCCGGCTCGACACCGTGAGGAAGGGGCGGCGGCGGCGCGCTGCTAGGGGGCAGCGCGACCGACGAGCCTGCCGCTCCAGTGATCAATGCCAGCAGATATGCACACGATGTTACCCGTTCGCTGCGCTTCGCCTTAAGTCATGAAATGTATATAGCTCATTGGGCTCGCAGGGCTCAAAGGGCATATATGTATATAGATATATATATATATACACAGGGTTAGATCGAGTCAAGAAAGACCTAGAGGGGTTCCAGAAACTCCCCCAGGATCTTGCGCAAATCACCCCTGGAATCACCGGCAGCGGCCCCCTGGCGAAATCTCCACAGGAATCTTCCAGAGGGCCCCATGAACAACCGAAATGAGCCCCCAAGCGCGCTCTCTTCGCGACTGGGGCCTCCTCCTCCTCCTCCTCCTCCTCCTCCTCCTCCTCGTCCTCCTCCCCATCCTCGTCCTCCTCCTCCTCCTCCTCCTCCTCCTCTCCTCCTCCTCCTCCTCCTCCTCCTCCTCCTCCTCCTCCTCCTCCTCCTCCTCCTCCTCCGTCTCCTCCCCCATCCCACCTCCTGGTAGGCGTTCCTGGGCGCCCTCCCGCGAGCGCGCGCGCAATCGTGCACACGCCGAAAAAATGGCACTGTATAGGTTACACCGCGTCCCCACACCGGTTGCACCATGTAGATTGCGCCACGTTGGCGGGGCGCGCGCGCGCGGCCAGAGAAAAAAAACGGAGAGCCCAAGGGCAGCAGGGGCTCAGAGCTTAGCTAGGACGTAGAGGCCGAAGCCGAAACCTGCACTCGGAGCCTCCCGAACTTTCAATT